GTGATAAATTTTAACAACTTTGGAAGTTTGACTTCTTTCAGCCGAATTCTGGGAGGCAGAGCTGCAAGCTTCAAATTATCCACTTGAAAAATAAAGTATTAGAAAAAATGCCCATTTACATCAAAGTTTAGTGTTTGAAACATACTTAAAATCCATTTAGAATTAGCAGCATTCATCAGATTGTGTCTCAGACTACTCTGGAAAACATTGGGACAAGATACCTCATCTTGTAAAGGAACCAGGTTGATTTTTTTTTTTTTTTAGACGAAGTCTCACTCTGTTGCCCGGGCTGGAGTGCAGTGACTCAATCTTGGCTCACTGTAAGTCCTGCCTCCTGGGTTCCAGCAATTCTCCTGCCTCAGTCTCCCGAGTAGCTGGGATTACAGGTGCACACCACCACACCTGGCTAATTTTTTGTATTTTTGGTAGAGACAGGATTTCACCATGTTGCCCAGGCTGGTCATAAACTCCTGACCTCAGGCAATTTGCCTGCTTCAGCTTCCCAAAGTGCTGGGATTACAGGCGTGAGCCACTGTGCCTGGCTTTTATGGAGTTTTAAATTTTTAGTTGGATGCTTATACATGTTCAGAGCATTTTGAAATAAGTACTCTCTCATATTCAGTTCCTCAAATTGTATACCAGGAACAAATAAAATGGAAGCTTCTAGCAAATATCAGACATCCTCTCCAATTTTCTTATTTTAGCCAACAATGACATACCAGTTGAAGAAATTCATTCTCCATTTACAACAATACTTCTGAGAACATTTTTGAATCACCTCCTGCGTTTGGCGTACCACATTTATCACGAAGAATTCCAGTAAGTACTATTTCTGGACCCTCACTGGGGGACGGAGCACAGCTAAGTTGTACTATTGTCATAATGCCTTCTTTTCTTCAGCAGTCATTTTTATTTTTTTGGAGACAGAGTCTTGCTCTGTTGCCCAGGCTGGAATGCAATGGCATAATCATGGCTCACTGCAACCTCTGCCTCCCAGGTTCAAGCAATTCTTCTGCCTCAGGCTCCTGGATAGCTGAGATGACAGGCATGTGCCACCATGCCTGGCTAATGTTTTTGTTGTTGTATTTTTAGTAGAGATGGGGTTTCACCATGTTGGCCAGGCTGGTTTCGAACTCCTGACCTCAGGCGATCCACCTGCCTCAGCCTCTCAAAGTGCTGAGATTACAGA